GCTGAACCAAACTGCATATTCAGTCAGAATTTAAGATTTAAATGTAGTTTACAAAAGTTGCTTAAAGAAATCAGAAAAGAAAATCCCTGAAAATTTCCTGAAATCAGGAAACCACTAAATACAAAGGCATGTATTTATATAGATTTAGGTATACGGACATTAAAGAGTTGGTGGTCTTTTTCTATCCTGAAAGATAAAAAATAAAAAAGATTTCTTGATAGGAAGGGCATGATTGTAATCACACATCTTCTCCACTTATGTGAGAAGACTTCTCTGTGACAGAGAATGTTAATTCTGAGTAACACTGGAGACAAGCTTACTAGGCTGTTAATTTTACTGAACCATACTCTGCAGCTGTATCTTTTTCTGTCTCCTTCATTATGGAAGAAAATTTGCAATAGACCTATACAGTAGAATTTAAACCTTTGTAATGCTACCCTGACAGAAGGTAGAACACCAATTCAAACTGCTGAGAAAAACAAACTAACAGTAAACAGCTGATGAACCCCCGAGTTCACAATGACCAGTGACACACAGCAGCTGGTTTACAAATGTCTCACCACATCCATTCATCAGCCAGACACAGCAGCCCAGTCATCCATCTCTTGTGCTGTTTCTGATGCAAGCCATGACCCCTGGGTTGGACACTGGGCTGGTAGCATTGCCCACTGCTAACTTGAGCTGCTTGCTTTCCCAGTGGGTTCTCTTGAGGATGGGGAAGGAGGATGTTGAGCATGACGCCTCTGATACTGTATGTGAGTGACAGAGCATAAAGCTGCACCATTGCAATGAAATCTGAGCATGGAGTAGGATTATTTTATGCCTGTTAGATACTTTTCTTTAACATGACAAGAAATCATCACTCATTTACTGAGTCCTTTTCACTGGAGCCACAGATAGGCATTTCAGGAACTTAAGACAACCCTCTTGCCCTTCCCCTCTTCTTTTTCAAACTTATCTCCCAGACATCTAGGAGGTCATCCCCGTGAGATGGGAAGAGAAGGGGAGCAGCTGTTAGCCTTGCTAGAGCTGTGTCCCTGTAGCAGCTCTGGTGGAGTCCTCTTTGTGCCACCAGTAGAGTCAGGGGCAGGCTGACCTCAACATTGGGAGAACATGAATCAGGTGAGAGGGTGTCCTACCTGTTAGGCCTGTTTGTCTGCTGGAGAGTGGACAATGACTGGTGAAGGAGCTACAGCAGGGGAACATATTTTGTGGATGAGTCAGCTGTGGCTGCAGTCTTCCTATGATGACAGTAGTCCCCTGTTTTTGCTGTGTAGTGATTCTCACACTGCCATCACCCTGTGTTCCTGTCCCACCTGCTTGTACTGCTACAGGCTTAGCTTGTCTTACCTTGCTTGTGGTTGTAGGGGTTCCTTTAATGTCAGTCAGTCATGACCTTTGCAGCACACTACCTTTTTCCGTAGATTATTTTTTTCCACTCAGTACTAGTGAGACCTTAGAGCAGTTACCAGTTTGGACATCATCTTCAAAAGCAAGTGCTCTAAGATGATAGAGAAAAGCTGGATGGTCTGAGCACCCTCACTCCAGAGAAAAGAGACCAGGGAGGAATTTTTTTGTGCATACACCCAGAGGGATGCTCTGCAGAGGACAAGGATCAAGTACTCCTGTTGGTCAAGAGTCAGGCTGTTAATAGGTTTAAGCTGCAAAAGGAAAACTTCAGTCTGCAAATTAAGAAAATGGAGGAAAAGTTAGACAGTGGAACCTGTTGCCAAGACGGAGGTTGTGAAACTGGAGATATGCAAGGCTAGGCTAGACACCCATCCATTAGGGATGGCTTTGGAATAACTGAGTAAAGCCAGTGAACAATGCAAACAGCTTGACTAGATGACCCAGTAACAGTCCCTTCCAATCCAAATACATTCAAGAGGCTTCTGAAATGTAGTTGGCAGCTTGTCCCCTACCAGCCCAGTTGTGATGTGTTTGCCAGATGTACCACCAGTTCCTTATGCTAAATGCTAAAGTGATGTATAAGATTGTAGCTGAAGCCATCAGCTTTAATAGCTTTTTTCTCCCCCACTAGGTTCACCTTGCCCTTAATCCATGTGAAGACCTGCTGGAGACACCTTGTAGAAACAAGTTTTCAGTCTTAATAAATTTTGTTGTGTCCAAGAAGAGCCTGTCCAAATGAGCAAGACATCCCAACAGAACACCACTACAGATGCCAACGGAGTAAGTGTGATTCACACCCAAGCACACACCAGTGGTTTGCAGCAGGTTCCCCAGCTGGTGCCCATTAGTCCTGGTGGTGGAGGCAAAGCTGTGCCTCCGAGCAAACAAGGAAAGAAAAATTCCTTTGTGGATAGAAACAGTGATGAGTATCGTCAGCGCAGAGAGCGCAACAACATGGCAGTGAAAAAGAGCCGGTTAAAAAGCAAGCAGAAAGCACAAGACACGCTGCAAAGGGTCAACCAGCTGAAAGAAGAAAATGAACGTTTAGAGGCAAAAATTAAGCTCCTGACCAAGGAGCTGAGTGTACTGAAAGACTTGTTCCTCGAGCATGCACACAATCTTGCAGACAATGTGCAACCTGTTGGCACTGAAACCACCACAAATCCAGAAAACAATGGACAGTAGACACCGTTGCAACCTTATGAAATGAACGCTTGAGGTGCAGCTTGTCTGCAGCACCCATGCAGTCACCAACCAAAAACTCTGCTCTCTTAACCATCATTTTGTGGAGATTTCCTTCTTTTTAGGTTTAACACTGAAGATTTGATAAAATTAAACAAGAAACTGCTTAAGGTATTTGTTCTAAGTATTTTTCGCCTCTAAAAGATTTAGCTAATAAATGCAGATCTAAAGTCATAGTCAACAAGGAGCTTAGTATTAGGAAAGTAGCATTTTCACAGAAACATTCACTTACCACCTTCTAGCTTGCAAAATGAGAGGAATACAGCAGGATGGTTCACTGTAATATCAAACTAATAATTGGATAAAATGTCTTTTAAATACCTTTCAATGTATTTAAGCCCTTTGTTTTCTCCATCACATATTGCAAAACTGCTAAGGCTGTGAAGGGTGTTTGCTTTCCTGTTTGGTAGACTATAAATCTGTAGAGCAAGTCCTATAAAGTACCACTTAGGTCTTTCCTGTCCAGTTATAGTTAATGGGGAGGGCATAGAAGTAGTGAGCTAGGATGCTTACTGCTGTTTTCTAGAAAAATAGCAAAAGGCTATGATGATATATACAGGCAGTTGGCTTCCAAATGGCAAATGAGTCTGAAGCATCATGTACAAGAGGTAAAGCAGCACACTGACAACACCTTTATAGCCTGTGTTCACAGTGCTCACATAGTGGCTAGGGCCTAGGAGGACAAGATTTTGATTTTCAGAAAATGTCAAAATGCTACCAAAAACCTGTGCTCTGCAAAATTGCATTCCTGATAGGGTGCAGGTATCACTGCTCGTTGACATTAATCTCCATTTTCATGGCTGTTCAGGTTTGCAACCACGGTCTTACAGAAGTTCACGGTAACTTTTAAAATAAATGGCCCCAGTTTGAAACGCTGTTCAGTGGAATTTCTGTAGTCATCATACAGTGGTGTGAAGGAGTATTTTTGGTCTTGTTTTATTTTCATAAAAGTTTTTCTATAGCAACTTTTTTAATGCTAGTGCTAAGTCTTTGCCATGATCCATAAAGCAGTGGTATGTACTATATTGAGGATTTAAACAATAAAACTAAAGCAGGAACTTTGATGTAACCTTAATTTATTTTCATTTTTTAATATTTCATTGACGTTATGGTTGTGTTACATTTAACCTGTGTGTCTGGCTAGTGGATTATTACACTGTCTTAATTTCTCTCCTACATTACCTTTTTTCATAGATTATTTTGTAGGATGCTTGTTTCCCTTGTATCTGTACTTAGGAAGAGAATTTGGATATTATCTCTATGAAGATGTTGTTAGAAAATGAAACCTTAAAAAGTTCTTTTTGAATTTAAATTTTTAATACATGTGGAAAACTTTTATGGATTGTTTTGGATTATGGTAGTCTTTTTACAAAGACATGTTTTTTTTTGATTCTAGCTGCAGCTTAAGTAGGTAGGGTTGAAATACCAGAAGCTAATAAAAAACTTTTGCTTCTAATGCTGGTCTCATTTTTCCTGTCCCTTTTCTATTTCCCTCAAGTACAGAGGTGCACACCTCAAGCAGCTATCTTTGAGTTACTAGTGCAACAGTTTCCATTCCTGTCTTCCACTCAGGTTTTCACTCAATGGAAAGAATCAGAAACTGCAGTTTTGGCTGAATTCCTGATTTAACAAAAAACCACATGAACTCCAAAACATTTAAAACTGAAAATGTACTGCAATTAAAGGGGAGGGGAAGGAACAGAAAACCAAAAACTACCAAGGAAAAAGATGACCTGAAAACATCTTTTAGCTGTGCACCTACTCTGGTGCAAAAGGCAGGAGCTGCTCCCTTCCCTGGCTCTCTGGTTTGTGAATTGGGTCTATGTGGCCTGCAGCTGGTTTGACAGGCTGATGTGGGGTCCAGCCCTAATAACCAGAACGGGGGCTCCAAATCTCTGCTACTTCTTTCTGATTTTGGTGAAAATTATTTCCTAAATTTCTTTGAGAGGGAGTAATACTCTGATGCTCTGGAGGGTGACTTCTCCCCTTGTAACTCCTGACAGCTCCGATTCCACTTAATTCTTGTTTAAAACAAAACCACTGAGTTATGAAAAGTCATTTGTTTGAAAAATGACATTTCTGGCTTAGCAGACTCCACACTTACTTTATTTGCCTAGGGAAGCACGTAAGCTGTGTGCAGCACATTACTTAGATATGTGAAGCCATAGACTCAAGATTATAAAAATATTTTAAATCTACCCTCAATCAGAATTTGGTTATAAGAAAAGCATTACTTTATTATTTTAAGCCCCTCCTGCCAAAGTATCTCAGCACCCCAAGAAACAGGCAGAGGTGAGGCTTTCCCTCTCTTTGCCCAAAGGTGGAGCAGCCCTGGCTGTGTGACAGCAGAATGCCTCAATCTTACCCCTCCACTATGCAAGGCATAGAACAACCATACCTAGGTGACTGGGATGACTCTTCTGCCTAAGGTTGGAATAAATACACAGCTACACAAGAAAAATTCAGTGTAGGCCTATAAAATGTAAGGTTTTCCTTTTGACACATTTTTCTTAACAGCAGAATACAGTGCTTGTCACTACAAGAAGGAGCATTACAGCTCTACACGTTTCAGCAGGAAACCTTATTCCCATTTTCTCACTTCTCCACCAGAAGCATTAGGATCCTCTACCACTTTACCTATACCCTGTAGCTGCAGCAGTGTCAGTGGCATGGCAGATAAATCCAGAGTGCACCCAGCCCCAGGGAGCTGAAGCAAGTTCAATGTAGTTGTTCATAAGTGCTCAGATCTTTCTAAACACAAAACTTGGTCAATATAACACTCTGTTACTTTGGTGCCACTATTCAAGTCTGTTTGCATCAAGGAACATCAAGACATTTGGGGAAACATGACAGCTAACAGCCTAAAATATCCCAGTGTAGAAAAAAATTAAGTTTGCCGTAACCTGTATTTCCTCCCTCCACACTAATACATTTTAAGTGTATTAAATATCACCTTGCCTGTTTTAAAAGGCTTACTTGTCTGCTTCCCCCTTCACCCTCAATGCTAATTTATAAAAAAGTTCTAATTTTTGCTTAAGCGGATAAAAATTATGATAATTACAGAAGACTTCTGGAAGGAAAGATGAAATTTATATTCACCATGGGCCTGATTATGAAGGTGCACCATCCCAGACCAAAGTGTATCCATGTTTTCGGCAAGCAAAACAACAGAGAAGCTGGTTATGTGAGCGAGCGCTTCCCCCCCCGCCACCCCGAATTCGTGGTAGTGTTAGTTTGCTGGTACATGTTGAAGCAGAACCAGTTCTGCCTCCTGCAGCACACCAGATTGCTCGACCTGTTCTGCAGCAGCAGAGCCCAGTATTTGCCAAGATTAATCACAGGCAAGGAAAGGCCTATTAACTAGGCTGGGGTTGTGGAGTAGTTGAAACAATTCCAAAACTCTTTTTTTTTGAAAATCTGTGAAGTGTTACTTTAAAATAGCGACTGTGACTGAACCCAAATAACAGCAGGTTTTGGAGTGCCCAGAGCAATGAGTGATCCCATGGGCGTGTTCGGAACATGCCACAGGAACGCATTTGGATGTGGAGGGAACAAGGCTGAGGCCACGAGCACCATCCTGCATTGAAAAAATCTCCCAAGTTTTAAGGGGATATGAGTGCAGAGCAGTGCCAATGTAGTTTCTGTGTGCTCATATATGCAAAGCTACCAAAGCCAAGCCTGATGTCCTCTACACAAGTACTATGTTTCAGAGGTACAAGACTTGCAGTCATCCCAGAAGGAAGCACCAGCACATACAAGCTGCTGATTGCATACCCTCCCCTCCTCACCCTTCCCCTTTGCAGTCAAGACCTCCTGCACTTACCTCTTACAAACCAGTGCTGAGCAACCTTTCAAAAATGTGAATAGTCTCATTTATTAATAAAGGGACATTAAACTCAAAGAGTTGAGTGCTCTGGATTATTTCACAATATGTTTCTCTGGTCTCCACCATGCAGTTTCCTATTCAGCAATGGGTCCCCAAGCTGTTGTGAATAAAGAGCAGGTCCTCATCACACAGATCAACTCAGTTAGCAAAAAGAGCTCTCTGTAGAGCAACATATTTGACAATTTTCACAGCAATCATTTCAGACCTAGATCCAGTCCCAGGTGGGGGGAACAAAGACAGCAACACATTTTTTTATACCATCCAAGCCTACATTGTATTATACATCCCACGTAAGACAGGCACTTGCGGGCACCCAGAAGTTGGGCCATCACCTGTGCCAGCTCCAGGATGTGAGGAACAGAACCAAGATGCTGAGATGATCAAGTCAGCCAATCTCTTCACAGTGGGGAAAATCCTCACCTGGCAAGTAGTGAAAATCAGAAAGGCCATGACATCCTGCTGTGATTTCAGTTCCTACTGACATGGTAGAGGGATGTTCTGAAGTGGCTTTGCAGTCAAACTGTGCAATGGAGCCTGAAGACCAAACAGGAGTTTTGATGTGTTCATAAAGCAAGCAAGATTATTTTTATGTAGTTATAGCAGCTCATGCTATTTTATGATGCAAGAAACGCATTTATTCTCCTGTAGGCTGATGAACACCTACAGTAAAGAAAGGCTTCTCCGAGTAATTTAAATCTTGTATGAATGGAAAATCATTTAATGATCATTATTAATGTTTGTGGTGTATCCAAATAAAACTTACATTAATTCATTCTGAACTGGCTTACACTGGATAGTTAAAAATAACTCTCTCATTTTGCACAGCACATGGTGCTCAATGACCCTAGGCCCTACAGCAAAGCTACTCCCTTCTTGCAATTTCTAAGGCTTGTGAACACCACAGCAATCTGTTTGTAAGGAACAAATGGATGGACAAATCTAGTAAGCATTGGGCTGTGTGTAAAGGATCAGTACACCCACTACCCAGAGCAGAAAAATCTGGCTAATGAAGTGTCAAAGTTTCCAGAGCACAAATGGGTAGGAAGGTTAGATAAAGAAGCAGGAATTGGAGCAGACAAGCATAATGATCACAAAGTTGTGAGCATAAATAAT